CTTCCAGTTTTCTGGTGATTACTTGGAGATAAGAGTCTCATGGACATTCCTGGCCAGGCTGGCTTCTAACCATGATCCTCAGAACTCAGCCTCCTGAGTTGGGAGGACACCCAGCCACACCTGCTTTCATTTCCCCTTCTCAGCTCCCAAGGCCAAGTCTCCGTGGTTTCTGAATGCGCCAACAGCCATCTAGCACACAACCAATCCTCGGTTGACAGCCCAGCCAAGGTCCTCCGCTCCAGCCCGGCTCTCCCGAGTCCCCCCTGCTGCCTCCCCTGACATGAAGCACGAGACACAGCTCGGTCCTGCCACCTGCGCAGAGCCTCCGGAGCCACACTCCTTGGACTATCTGGCAAAGTTTGGATTTTCACAGCGGATGCAGAGCATCTGGTCCAGTCTACATCCAATCCTCATTCCCCACTACTGCCCAGCCGGCACAATGCAGAGCCCCTTGTGTGTAAAAACTGGAAACTAATGGGTTAAACAAGGCTGTACCAACATGTATGCCCCTTGATTCTGTTTCTCCCCTCCCCTCTACCCCTTTTACACACACACACACACACACACACACACACACACACACACCACCGGTACGTTCCCAACAGGAACACACCCTGTGCTGATGTAACCCTTCCACTGGGACATGCCGCCTCCCACCATCACCGCCCACGTGTATTGAAGTTTTTGCCTTGTCTCACAATTCAAGCTCTATGACGGTAGCGTGTATTTCCAGTGCATACATGGCAGCCCTCTAATGCACACTTAGTGGCCGCTGTGCCTTCTCATTTGCAAAAGTAACTTAGCCCTCCTCCCATCCCCTCACTATTTTTATTCTCTTCTTAGCAGCTACTGGCGTTGTATGGACAGGCAAGTCCCCCCGGGCTGGCCTGCCCATGTGAAGAGGCCAGGGTGGAGCCGGGCCTACCTGTGCTCAGCAGCAGCAGAACCTTCATGACGGTGTACTCTTCGAAGGTGAGCTGCAGCCGCACGAACTGAAGGCTGATCTGGTGCATCCCCTGGCACAGCTCATACATGGCAGACTGGTGCATCTTCTCCCTGCCAAGACAGGTGGCAAAGGCTGAGAACCCAGAAACCTGCATTCCTTGTAAACCCCAGGCTAGAGGCCCGAGACAGGTTAGTAAGAGACCTTGCCCGTGTTTACCTTTTGGCTTCCACATCAAACAGTCGTGTGTGTGTGTGTGTGTGTGTGTGTGTGTGTGTATGTGTGTGTGTGCAGGCTCTGCGGCTTGAACTCAGGGCCTGGAACTCTCACTTGACTTTCCCAAGCATGACTGGTATGTAACCACTTGAGCCACACTTCCGCTTTCGGCTCTTTTTCCAAATAAACAATAGAGAGAATAAAATACTTCTGGAAAGACCAACATTCATTGTGGCTGAAACAAACCTACAAAGCATCGGATTCTTGGAATAGCCTTTCAAGGAAATAACATTTACGACTGTAACTTCTCTACATTGGATGGTAAACCAAGGGGAAAGCACTGAGAAGGAAGATGTTCACAAGCTGGAAGTGACTTGTCTGGCATCGAACATGAGCACCAGACACCTCTGTGCGTTTCTGCTATCAAGAGGTGTGAACACAACATCCACACACAGGTGAGAGGTTACAGAGAGACGAGGACCGTTCATGTGTGATAACACACCTCACAAAGGCTTTGTTTTTTGGTTTTTTTTGCACTTTGGTGTGAACAGCATCTCTTTTAACTGTTTTGTGAATCCAGTCATGATCCAACTTCTTGGCTGACATGAAGAGCTGGATTTCTTCTTGCTAATTGTCTTCGCATTCATGACGAGGAACTATATACACCAGGAATCCAGGTTCTAACCCCAGGGCTTTGCCTGCAAAACCCAGGCTTTTCCCCCCTTCCAAGATGTCAGCCCATGATACCATAGTTTTCAGCTCTTGTTGCCCAATTATGAAGAGATATGCAGAACCTCAGAGATTTTGTCATTACAGTCACTCATTTGTTTCATCTTTGATCCTTATTGTGTGGAAAGATTTTGTGTTTTCAACTTCCACTGCTATTTCCATTGCATGACACTGAGTTCTGCAAATGAATACTCTGTACTCCATCTAGCTTGAAATTCCACACAAACAAGCCATCTCAAAAACATTTTGTAGAGAAATGTACGTCCAAAGCAATGGCAGTCTTTGTGGCATGATACTGATATTAATGGAACATTACTTTGTAGAAATACTCTGCTACATGATTTTATTCATCTTATAATTTTATATCATTTTGAATGGAATAATGTAAAAATATACTTGATTTCTCTAGGAAACTCAAGCATGTGTATATATGGCTCTAAAAAAAACTGAAAAGTAAATGTATCCCCAAAGTCATCCTTGAACAGTATGAATAAAAGTGGGAGAGGTTATGGAGGCAGGAAAAAGCCCTGTATTAGGTGAACATCAAATCTGAGTAACGGACAGTTACTAGTGTCCACTTGAGGACTGTGAGCAGTTATTCTTGTGCACGCCACTTATTTCTGAACATCTTGTGTGTAAGAACAGAATAAGCTTGGTAAACAAATAAATACAACAACCAAAGTAGACACAGAAATCCAGTTTCAATTCTAAATAGGATGGGTTAAAATATCAGCAACAGCAACAAGAAGGAAGAGAGGAGAGAAAGGGAGAGGAAGAGGGAGAGAGAGAAGCAGAGGGAGAGGTGTAGAGGGAGGCAGGGGAGAGGGAAGAGAGGGAGAGGAAATCATTACTTGCCCAGACTGACCTTGAACTTGCAATCCTCTTGCCTAAGCCACCTGAAGGCTAGGATTATAGGAGTGAGCCATGGTACACAAGTTCTTGCAAATATTGTTAAAAATATTCACCAGCTTAGTAAAGTGGAGATTTTTCTCACAGTGAGAAACCAATTTTATTCAGAGTTACAAATTCATCTGTTCTCTCAGAACATCCATTTTAATAAACCAAAATCATATGACCATTTGTAAATAGTTCTGAAATATGAAATTAAAATAATACAAATCACCCAAACCAAATTCTGACTGAAACAAAAAAATGAACATCCTGGGTTAGAAAGTATTTTTTCCCCCTTGCTTTTAAAGAATTTGGAGCTAGAAATGAAGCTGCTACACATGATCATAGGGATTAGAAAAACTCCCATTAAAATTACACTGGGTAAGGTATCAAAATTTCCAAGACTGTGTGCTTACTGTGGCTTTCAAGTCAGTCCTGATGTAATCTGAACTACACTCACATCTACAGAACTCAAGGCATCTCACTGCTGTTGTACACCAACAGTGTTGAGGGCACTTCACTGAATTCACCAGCCAAGGGGGCCCTCTTGTTTTGGTGTAAGGTTCTGACTTACACAACTAAAATAGTATTCAAAAAGTGTAAGCACTCAGTTGTTTGAAAGTCAATCTGATGGCACATGAGGAGGCAAAGTAACTGCCCATGTTTAATGGGCACAAAACTTCACTTTTCCAAGATGAGAAGAATGCTTGGACCACAAAGGGAATCTACATATCACTACTGTACACTTTAAGCAGGTCAAGATGGCAGAACTTACGCTTATGCTACTATTAAAAAATTTGAAAATAAGAAAACAATGAGTCTCTCTATTGATTAGATTTGCTGTAGTTAAGCAGAAATTAAGGAGCTGATGTGTGTGTGCTTAATTATGTGATTTCTCTTAGGCACTATTCTGCCTTCTAACCTACAAAATATGTATTCTCTCTTTTTATAGCTCCTTTTTGTCTTTCTTTGTCTCAGTGGATTTTCAGACTTACTTTATCAGTGCCTTTATTGCAGGATACCTCACTACTTTTAGGGAACAGGAAGGGTAACAATTCTTTAATAAACCACAACTCCCAAAGGTCGCTCAGAAACAGTTCCTCCAAGGCCTGTCTGTTGTGGTGCTACTGCCTTGGCAGAGAAGAAGAAAACAGAACTTCCGTTACTACTTTTCTCTTCCCACAAATTCACATTTCAGAACTGTGATACTTCGCAGGAGCCCATTTTATATATGCCAAAGCGCGAGGGTTCCCCGAGCTCTCCACCTATAGAAACCTCAAAGGAACTGTGACATTTCTTCCCGGAGACTTCAGCAACACTGCTACACTGCACCTTGTGACCCCAGCATCCAGGCATGGCCATCATTTCATTTAAGGAGCCGCTACAGGAAGGGATCCTTGAAATACTGCACCTTAGCACTGACCAGTGCCACCGCTCTCTGTCCCTCTTCTCCCTAGCGAGGTATGGATCTTTCTTTGGTTGGTTTTTATGTGGTGCCTAGGTCCATAACACTGCAAGTGGTAGATAAAATAAGCCAGCAGAAACCAAGAACAGCTAAACATTGGATCCCGCCTTTGAGCGGGGTGTTTCTTTGTAAATATAAACAAAACAAAGAAATGGTTAATCAGGTTTGAACTCTTTCTAGGCAAATTCGCTAGGAATCCTGTCAACAAGACTGTTTGCTATTACTCCTTGAAATCGGCTCTAGGAATGATGTACTTTAGGACTAACGTGGGTGGAATTATTTCCAGTCTTACAGCAGAGAGTTAAATAAGTTGAGTTCATAGCAGACCAGAAAGGCCAGACCTTACATCTGATAGCACGCACCACATCACCATGTCTGAATAGATCTAACATTTGTTACGTGGTCAGTGTAACAGATGGTCCCTGTCTCAGGCTTGTTATTCTCCTAAAAAAAAACAAACAAACCCAGAATGCACACACAGTTTTTCTCCCCTTTTCAAACCCTAATTAGAATAAAGATGACCTCAATTTGGACATTCAAATTATTCCAGTTCCCTGTCTGACTTTTTCATGGCCTTTTGAGATATTTCCTTAACTGACCAACAGAATGTATTGTAGGAGGACCATTTTGCTAGTTGTGCCTCTAAGATCTGCTCATTTTTAAAAAATCGTGGTTGTGCAACTGGTTTACAGCCAGGACAGACCTCAGCTGCCAGGTGTGTAAATCATTTGACGATGCTGTCTGTGTTGTGCTTTTCTGGACTACTGCCCTGAAGAACCCATTGTGTGATCCATTGGTCTCGATGACATTCATCTATTCTCTATCAATTGTTCACAGTCCATTTTATTAAGAGCTAAGAGCCTATCCACAGTCTTGTTTGTCACCATAATTGATGTTCCAGAAAGAATGTGTTTCCATAGACCTGCCACTGGAATGCAGCACCAGAATTTCCACTCCTTTTAATGATGCTGAACATGATAAATGACAGTCTAGAATTCTAGAAGAGGCCAGTCACATGGCTTCCATCTGTCAGACTTAGTGTGAAGGATGGGGAACACTCTTACCATAAGTATTACACATCGTATTTCCTAAAACACTTCTGTACCTTAGCTTCTCCTCAATACAATCAGAAGCTGCTTGCGGGTACAGGGACATGTGTGTCTGGTAGTAGGAAGCCAGAACACAGCCGTTAACCCTCCTGGGAAATGCAGGATTTTAGAGAAGGTTGAGGAACCCAGCAGAATCTGTGATAAACCATAGTACAAAAATGATTGGACTTTGCCAACGCTTCAGCATTCATATTCTTCAACTGTGATTTAGTCTTTTATGGGCTTGAACTCAGGGTCTGGGTGCTTTCTCTGAGCTCTTTTGCTCAAGGCTAGAGCTCTACCACTTTGCGCCACAGTGCCACTTCAGGTCTTCTGGTGGTTAACTAGAAATAAAGTCTCATGGAACTTCCTGCCCAGGCTAGCTTCAAACTGTGAGCCTCAAATCTCAGCTTTCTGAGTAGCTAGGATTACAGGTGAGAGCCACCAGCGCTCAGCAAGCACTCTTTTTTTTTTGTTGTTGGTGTGGGGCTTGAACTCTGGGACTGGCTGCTGTCATGAGCTCTTCAGCTCAGGGCTAGCGCTCTACCACTTGAGCCGCAGCGCCACTTCTTGTTTTCTGGTGGTTATCTGGAGATAAGAGTCTTATGGCCTTTTCTGCCTGGGCTGGCTTTGAACCACAATCCTCAGATCTCAGCCTCCTGAGTAGCTAGGATTACAGGTGTGAGCCACCAGCACCTGGCTAAGGCACTCATTTTTAAAAAGT